AAAGTATAGGCAACAAAAGCAAAAATAAACAAATGGTCTAGAGGAAATGCACCGCAGCACAAGAAGACATACCACAGTTAATATCATACCACATAAGGACATTTTGAAATTGATTTTTTTTTAATATCTGAAAGAAGACAATAATGTCCAGTTCTACCACTTTTATTCTTATAGGGCTGGAGGTCTTAGATTCAGTAATTAGGTAACAGAAGGAAATAAAGTATATCCATAATGGAAAGGAAGAAGTCAAATTGCTCCTTTTTGCAGATGATATGTTTGTATGGTCTTAAATAACTAAAACTCTAAGAGAGTCCAGAAAATGAAACAAACAAAAGGCCACTTTTGGATGAATAAACTAATTTGACAAGTTACAAAACACAAAATCAACATAATAAAATCAGTTGAGGTTCTATATTACCTGAAAATGGAAACAAGAAAGCAATCCTGTTTACAATCTATATTAAAAAAAAAAATCAAATCTCAGGAATGTCTTTAGTCAAAGAGAGAAAGAACTCTACAGTGAAAACTACAAAACCACAAAAATTAAAATTGCATCACAAGTACATGGAAAAATAGTCAAGGTACGTGAATTGGAAGAATTCACAATGTCTATACTACCCAAAACAATCTTCAGATCCAATGCAGTCCTATCCTGTAATATCTTCAAAGACATAGAAAAAGAAAATAGTTGTACAATTTCTGTGAAACCATAAAAGACCCTGAATACAAGAAGCCATATTGAGAGTAAAGAACAAAACTGGAGGCCTCATACTACCTCACTTGAAAACATCCTACAAAGCTGTAGTAACATAACAGCCTGCTGTTGGCAGAGTTACTGCACAAAGTAGGACACAATCTACAGAATAAGAGATTAAGACACAGAATTAGAGAAAATATCTTTAAACTATATATTTGACAGGGTTACTACCCAGAATATGTAAGAAATTAATCTAATTCTATAATAAAATTAATAATCTGGTTTAGAAATGGACAAAATACCCAAGTAGATGTTTCTCAAAATTAGACATACAAATGGCAAACAGGTATATGAGACTGTTTAACATTACTAATCATCAGGGGAATGCAAATCAAAACTATAATGTGGTATCACTTCATCCCAATTAAAATTGCTATTATCAAAAATCCAAAATAAAAAATCTGGCATGGAAGGAAAAAATGGGAACTTTTATATATCATTGGGGGAATGTAAATTCATATAGCCATTAGGGAAAAGAGTATAGAGATTCACTCTCAAAATTTGAAATAGAGCAATCAACTTATCCCAAAATCCTACCACTGGGTATTTATCTAAAGGAAATGAAATTATGTCAGAGAGAGAGCTCCATACATACTGCAGTATGCTCTTCACAATAGCCAATATTTGGAACCAATCTGTTTATGAGCAAATGAATGGATAAAAAAAAATGTGGTACATATATCAAAAAAGAGTATGTCCATAAAATGGTGAAAATCTTATATTCATGGAAACAGATGTACTTGTCAAATATTACCTAAAGTGAAATAAACCAAACATAGACAAATACTGCATGATCTCACTGACTTGTGGAATTTAAAAAAGCCAATCCTACAGAAATATAGAGTAGAAATGTGGTTATTATTCTAATAGAGTTGGAGAAGGTGGGGGGAAAGGAGGATGGGGAGAAGTTGGTCAGTGGACGCACAATTATAATTAAATAGCAAGAATAAGTACTGCTGTCCTATTGTACCACAGGGTGAAGATCACTAAGGACACTGTATTATACACTTAAAAATAACCAGAACAGAGGGTTTCTGAATATCCTTGCTACAAAAAAAAAAAAAAAATGTTTGAGATGCTGGATATGTTAAGTACACTGACTTGTTCATTATATATGTTTACATATATTCATGAAATACCACAGTGCACAGTGTACCTCATAAATATCGGCAATTATTTTGTGCTCATTAAAATATTTTAAATGCAAAGCATAAAAATATAATTTTTAATATTTAAAAATACTTTTTTGAATTTTCATCAAAAATAGAAATTTGCTAGTTTGAGAATTACAACTGGACACATTTTTAAAATTTTGAAACAAAATTATTTAAGTGGATTAGTCATCTTATCCCTGGATCACCTAGTGTAGCTATAATTTCCATGCATAATAATCGGAGTGCAAAATAGGTTGATACAAAAAATAAATTGAAGGCTAAGGATTTCTGAAGGGAGATATGAAAACATTTTTAATTTTAAGATATAAAAGAAAATAGTATCATATTCAGAAAAAGATTTACATGTTTTTTTTTCAAAAACATTAACTTCTAGGATCATTTAGATTTTCTATGATGTATTATGTGTTATGTTCGAATTCAGGACCCCCAAAGACCACCAGAGACCCAAGATCTATGTAAGCAGCAAAGAAAGAGGTGTTTATTGCGAGTTAGCTTGGTCCTCCGTGTGCACACACAGCAACTGGTGACCCTGAGAGGCCCGGAGCCCAGGGTTTGCAGCATTTTTATACATTCTTTGGAGAGGGCAGGGGCTTCACATACATCATAGCAAATCATCACACACCGAGGGAAAATCAAATAACAACTCTAAAACATGATTAGCACATTCACTGGCGGGAACAAGTTGGGTAGGGGTGATTGGTCAGAACAAAAGGGGTACTGGTTTGAACTGATTGGTTTGAGCCAAGAGCGGTATACATGCTAAACTACACGGTTTCCCAATATGTTATCAACCACTATAAACTACTGGGAGGGTCATCTGGCATCCCAGGTATTTCCCTGTCTCATGCTGATTGGTGGCTGCCCCAGGGACACCTGGGGCAGCAGATCTCTCCTGTTATTTGTAGATAAACAATTTAGCAGGATGGGATTATGCTTAGGAGTGCTCTGTGGGTTTTTCCAAGGACAAAGGTCATGTCCCTTTCTTGGATAGGCTTTGCTCTGAGATAGAGGCTGGTTTTTCAGAAGGCTAAGGATTTCTGAAGGGAGATATGAAAACATTTTTAATTTTAAGATATAAAAGAAAATAGTATCATATTCAGAAAAAGATTTACATGGTTTTTTTTTTCAAAAACATTAACCCCTAGGTTCATTTAGATTTTCTATGATGTATTATGAATCAAATATTTTTGTCTGTATTTTCACAATAATTCTGAAATTTTGGTGGAGAATTCTCATGTCAGAAAACTGAAAATTATAAAGGTTAAATAATTTGCCTAAGGTCACATGATCATTAATTGTAAAAGACAGACCGAGAATTAAGTACGTTTCTTTGATTCAAAATTATTGCCTTTTGCACAAAGTAAATCTCATCAAGACTGAGCCCATTATTCTAGTATTGCTTAAACACTGTACTGTCCTTTATCAGTGCCACTCAAAAGAGCCACTCCACAATGTGATGAGTTCCCTCTACCATAATGTAAATCAATGTACTGCTTCCTTTTTAAAGAAAAGCGCCCCCCCCACACACACATCTTAAATTGAACTTAAATCTGCACAAGCATATATGTTAGAAATTAGTAAACCATGATCTTCTGTTGCTCCTTTGCTTCTTTAAATAAAATTTTAGTGGAATACTGGCATTCCTGTTCTTTAACATGTTCTCTCAGCTTCAGCAATGTTAGACTGTTATTATGATAGAGACCATAGGGTCCATTAAGCTACCAACAACATTCATTATCTGGCCCCATCTCAGACCTTCCTCAATTCAGGGAGGGGTTTCTGCTCTGCTTCCAGCAGGGCCTGGATGAGGTACGGTGGTAAGGAATGCTGGGGTGGTATAGCCATCTAGGTCTAAGCCTCTGAGCTCTTTTCATTTTCAGATTCCAAGAATGTTATTCTTCATAGGATAAGAGTGAAGCCAGAATAGACAGGTAGTATAGATAGGTAAATGGAATCAGGTCAGATAGAGTCAGGCCAATTTTGAGTGAGTCCTGGAAAGATGGAGACTGTCCCCTGAGGGACTGAAATGTTAATTCCTTCAAAGCCCTTCCTCCCCCGCTTATCAAGAACCTGCCCCTGCTCCAACCTGTTGCTAAAGTAACCTGTCCCAGGAATTGATGTGTCCTGGGCTGCACCATCCTGCCCTTTCCCCTTCAGCCCACCTGTTTTTCACTTTTGTCCATCTCACCAAGCATTCCCCGGCCTAGTCACCTATGCAGGAAGGAGAAAGATTTGGGGAAGAGAGCAGGAGAGCCAAGGAAGCCTAGGACATAAAAAAGGGCACAACACCTTGCTTCTGGGGATAAGAGGATACTACGAAGGCCCCCTTCTCCCTCGTGGGAGAAGCCTTTGTTACCCCTTTTTGAATAAACCCTGCTTTATATGCTTGCCTCAGTGTGCTTCTCTAATGTTCAAACTCAAAATGTAAGAAAGCAGGACTCCTCACCAATAGCTTGTGACATCAACAGGAGGGACTTGAATTTATCCATTCTTAGTGCCCTGAATACCCTCAGAATGTGTTTTCCAGGGACAATATAAGGATTCTTCTGCTAACATTTCATTTGAAATTCTGAGATAACAGACTGCCAAGGAGTAGAATCAGCCTGACTTTGAGAGGAATCTCCTATCTCCAAAACTTCTAAGATTGCTTCAAGGACCCAAATACAAATAAACATTTCATTCTTTCCTAATTTTCTTTTGTGTTTGGGCAACTAACCAATTTCGTTTCACATCTTTGAAAGCTATAAATAGAAATGAAGCATATGCAAATCACTCAAACAATTCCAGTTCAATTAATAACTAGGAGAAAATCCATTATTGTCTCTCCAGAATAAAGTTTACAAAAGATCAGATGCCTCTATGGCAGCAAATGCATATGGAGAAAATTTTAAAAATATCCACAGAGATTGTTTCTTGTCCTGAACAGATTAGCTATTCAATTGGATTGTTTCAAGCAATTAGCTATTTTGAAATTCCTTGATACGCATATTTTAGCAAAGTAAAAAGAAAATATTCTTCTAATATATCATTGTATAAATCTATAACATAGAAATTCTCTATTAACTTACATGCCTCTGGGATCCATCATATTCACACCTTTCAATTTTTCCTAAGCTGCCATCTGAGAAATACAACTTTTCTGCACGATGGTCGATAGTGAGTCCATTTGGAGTAAGTATGTCTGTACTGACAACCACTTGAGCATTTTTCCCAGTCAGGGTAGATCTTATGATACTTGGATGCTGTTCATTCCAGTTGGTCCAAAACATTAAACTAATTAAAATTAAAATTATAATAATAAATAATTAAAATTTTCATTCAAAGTAAAAACATTATATAAACACAGCAAGGCCAAGCTATTTAAAACAGGCAAATTTATTTGGCATCTATTCTGTGACCCTTAAGGAATCTAAGTGATAAGAGGAGATGTTGATATTATATTTGTATGCACATTTTTTTCCAGGTTCCTAAGCTTGGAAACCATTTCTGAAAACCAACTATCCTGTACATTCTTTCAAATAACAATTTAATTAAGTTGAGTCAGTTTGATGCACAATGAGGATTTATTTTAATCAGGTAAAAAATAGTAATATTAAATTTATTATGAACTGCAAATGTGGCATAATTTATCAATATCACATTTAAGCAGATCTAGTATGATCCCTTTGGATAGCTTTGCTAACTATATTTTCTTCTATAATTAATGAAAATCAAAATCCCTCTTCACTTCTAGCTTTGCTTTTTATATTCTACATTCTTCTTTATGTTTTTTTAAAGAAAAATAATTACCAAACTTGCATATTTCTATATATTTTTTTCTTTCCTCCCTTAGTTAAGAATCATAATGTTGTTTCTGGAATTTTAGGGGTGGCTCTCAAATCCTTAAAGACAGCATCTGCTGCTTGTAGGTTTTACAAAATGTTTTAAATCTGTGCTTGTGAATTGATACTTTGTAGAAGAGCTAGGATTCTATGAATACCGTTAGAACAAAGGCTGTCAAGTTGTAGTCTCCAAGCCATATTTTTACTGAAATTGGTTCTCATTTTTCTGTTTTATCTATTGAGTTGTCCCTAAGAGTTTATTTGAAGTTAGATTCTTGGTGCTTAGAGAAGGAGAGAAGATGGAAAGGAATGAGGATGGTAGGTTTTCTGCTTTAAAAATCTGAAAAAGCAAAACAAAACAAAACAAAAAACCTCATGCCTAGTAGTCACAAAGAAAACTACCATATAACATTTAGTATTTACAGCAAGATTATATACATGTACTAAATTATTTCTATATGTAATCATCTAAAGGCAATTTCGACTTATAGTCAACACAATTATACAAAATGTGTTTTTATTTGAGTATTTTGAAAAATAAAAACTTATTAATTATTGGAAAATAATCAAGTTCTCAATAGCTAATTTAAATAATCAAGTTCTCAATAGATAATTTAAAAACAATCCATATCCATTAAAGAAAACAAAGTCATATTTACTCTTTATTAAAATATTTAGTTTAATTTTCATCTATTTTAGAGAATACAAAATATTCTAAGTGACCAACTGTCAAAAATATTCTGTCCTATGAATTAGTAAATTTCTATTTTCTTAAATTGTTTGCAATTTTACTTATAAATTTTACATTTAAAATGAAATATTTCATTAATTAAAACATGTAAAAAGTTACCCATGTAATATGAGGTATTAAATTGACAATCTGTGTTGTTTTCTTAAATTGTTAGCTTTAGAATTAGAGAATTTTGGAGGCATTAATTTTCTTATCACTTCACCTCTTCAATTCTCAACTGAGAATGCACAGAGATCCAAAGAGCTTGTGTATTTAAATTTTGTACAAATAACTAGGATCTAAGCAAAGTTTTGAACTCAAGGTGTCTATCTTTCATTCTATTCTATCTTTAGAATTTTATTTAAAATTTTCTGCTAAATAGCATATAATAAGCATCTGAAAGTATCATTGATATACATGATGATAAAAATGTCTTCTCTATACTTAAACTTTAATTTCAAATAATATTCCAGTTAAAATATTTTGGCATGTTTAGTAATTTTGATATACATTGTACTACATGAAAGATGAAAGTGTAAATTTTAGTGTATATAAATAAGTAGTTTTAGGATAAAGCACTTAGCAATTCAAACTATGTATTTATAAAGTATTTTGAGTGATTTCCCTGTGTTCATTCCAAAATTGAGTCAGATAGTCCTTTAAACAACTCTTTTATTCTTTCTGTAAGGACATTTATTAGTGTCCTGAGATTCTATTGGTGAACCACTGAGGTAAGCGTAATTAACTCAGAATAAGATGCTTGGCGACCGGACAGTTTTGTGAGTACAGATGGCTCTGCCAGAGCATCACAAGGCCTGTGTTCATCTGAACTAAGTCATCAAAGCTGCTGAGGAGTCTATTTGCCCCTCAGCTTCAGAGTTTTATGTATAAGTTGGTGTTCAATTAAGTGAATTAAATCTAATTTTACTTCCAGCCCAGATTTATAATTATTTCACTCTGAGTAATTTATCTAGTCCTTTCTTGTGACAAGAGGTCAGGGTCAGCGGTTATATGCCATTGCTTTTTATTCTTCAATTCCTCTTCACCATGTCTAAAAGGACTCTTCTATTTCTGCTTAGTTAATGCTGGACTGGTCAGAGCTTTGCTTATTTATTTCATTGAAAAAAAAAGGATTTTCTATTTAAGATACAATCTTGAGGGGCTGGGGCTGTAGCTCAGTCATAGAGCACTTGCCTATAGCATGTAGGAGACAATGGGTTCAATCCTCGGCATCACTTAAAAATAAATAAAATAAAGGTATTGTGTTCATCTACAACTTAAAAAAAAACTTGCTACATTGTTGAGAATAAAATACCATTAATGTGTATTATTGTTCTGCCTAAACTGTGCTTTGTGCTTCAGTTTTCTATATGACTGTTTCCTTTATGACATCTGCCCTCAAATTCTCTTTTTGTTCTACTTTGCTTTATCCTATTCACTCAGTAAGGTACATTTAATGTTGTAAATTTCTCAAAAATCTTATTTTAAATGTCTGCTCAATATATCAGCCAACAGATATAAACTACTTTACTGTTTACCTAATGTTGAAAACATATCTGTTCACAAAGTTTGTTTTCCTTTTTACTGTTTTTCTTTGTGTTTCAATTGAAGATGTCCTATTCTTAAATTTACTTCATTGAAGTGAAAAAAAAAACCTCTTTTACTTCATTAAAGTGAAAAAAACCCTCTTTTGTGTGTTGATATATATTAATAGCTTTGTTTTAAATTTATAATTTCAATCAGCTCTGAATAAAGATCTGCTTTATGCTACATTTTCCAGCATAGTATTGTCTCTTTCTGTTTTCTTTTCATCATTTAAATTTGCTTTTACTGGATCTTTCTTGGAGAGACCACCTGATATTTTAATTATTCATACTTATAAGACTGTCATTAAAGAAATAAATTTTATGAATTATGAAGAAAGCTTTAAAGGAAACATTTAAAATCTTGAAGTTAATCTTTTTTTAAAGTTAACATAGATTTGACATTCTTCTGACTTATAATTACAGTGCAAAAATAAAAGGACCTCTTTCTTACTTTTGACATTCGTCCAAGGCCAGCACATGTGGGTGGTCATCCTCTGACATGGTGATGACTGCTTCTCTGTCAAAAGCTCCAGGCCTGGTTTGGTCCACTGTGTGCCTAGTGATGGATGAGGTAGTGGAGCTGGTCCAGTACAGTGTATCCCAGGCTCTGTGATAGGCAAGTCCTTCCACAGAACCTACATCTGATGGGGGCAAAGAATAAATTTATATTTTTATTTATAAATAAAAAAACACATATATTTCAGCGAGAAAAAAGGAATCAATATGTTTTATATGTATCTGTTATTTAATCAATCATTCCTTTACAACCCTCCAAAATAAAAAATAATAACAATTGTGATGCGTACAATTGGGAGTTGATTATACAGACCAAAATATAGCTCTGAACAGACAAATTTGTCATGGGAGCAGTTCTGCAAATCCATGTCATTAAAAATTTAGTCTTCCTATTAAAGAAACCACAATCAAATTGATGTCTGTTTTTTTTTTAAATGTAGGAAATCAGTGATTTTCTCCCTTTTTAACATGTTAATCTTAATTTTCAGAAAATATCCAGTATGCAACACTTACAAATGCTTTTGAAAAATCATATGTCAGCAATACAATTTAGGTACAATCATTATGGATTTTCTATTAATAACTATAGATTTGGAGATATCAAGAAAAACAGACACATTGAAATTATAATAACAGTATCAAAAAAGCGAATTCAATTTCATATTTAAAACTATCAAAGATGGTAGGCAATGTTTTATTAAGTTAATGTGGAAATTTTTTGATTCTCTTCTACAAATGTGATATAAAAAGAATACAATATGAAATTAATTGCCACAAAAGCATGCTTTATATATTTTCAGAAAAAGATAAATGGCAGTACATAGATCCTCATATACAAAAAGTGGCAGGGTGAAAAACAAGAGTAATTATTTCATAAAACTCTATTTATAATCACTAGGATAATGTACAGTAGCTATTATAATTTTCGTTGATGTGTTTTGAGCACATCTTTAAGTATAATCAAAGGATTATAATTTTCCTTCATGTCACCTATTTTCTTCAGTTATTATTCTTAATATTTAATTAATAACAGTGTGTGTGCCTTAAGCATACATGTTAAAAATTAACATAATTACAGAGATTTCTATGATTTTTCCTTAAAGGAAATTCTGAGAGGAACTCTTTAGCTCTTCTTTTTTAAAAAAGTACATAAAAATGATTGTTTTCAGACTTATGGTATATAAATATTTAATTTGGGAAGGTCAATAGAATTTTTCTAGAGTGCCAAACAATAATTAAAACTTTTAAACCAGATTTTTCTTCATATGATTACATTTTGTCACTTGTTTTTCTTTATACATGCACCACAGAATATCCAATATCAATAAAATTAATAGCCACAAGTTAGTGGGTGCTGTCTATCTGCTAAGAATTTCACAAACTATTCTGCATACATTATGCTATTTTATGTATAAATCTCATCTGTGGAGTTTGTTTCATTATTCCTCTTTTCCCAAGGAGGAAACTAAAGGTTGTAGTGTTAAGGCAGGTTTTATAGTGTTAAAGCAATTTTTGGACACCAGGTTCTTCTACTTCCAAATGCTTATGTTCATGATAACCAGTCTTTGGGGATGGGTTTTAGAGACTTATTCCTAAATTTCAATCTATACAGAGTTTGAACTAAACAAGTGATCCAATAAACTTAACTTGCCTACTGTGGGGGGATTATATAACAAACAACTTGCCATGAGTACCCTTCTCTCAAACAGTGAACAGAGTAGTTTTTAAGGTATTGATGGACGTGATTAATATGGAAACTTAGGTCAAAGATGATGGAAGAGAAATTATAAAATCATGATAAAATTGATAAATTGGTTAAGTTGATTTTATGTGTTTCGTATGATGCCCTTTTGGGGGTAAATAGGTGGGATTCTGATAATGGTTAAAAGTCTTTCAGCGATTAAATAAAACTGCATTTTTGCAATTTCATTTCATTATAAAATATAATAACTCTATTGGCATTGTTTTTGGTACTATATGTCTTCATGATTCACAAAGAGAATGAGAAATAACACATGTCTGGAAAAATCCAAGAAAATAAGAATCAATCCATCCTTATTCTGTACCATTCCCTTCTAGTGACTTAACAGATCTTCCTGGACACTATCCTGCCAGCCAGGAAGAAGCCATTCAGTATCACAAACGATGCTGCTTTCTTATGGCTGACATAAATCCAGGGCTACTAAATTACATCTGTCTCATTGTCCAGATACCGTCTCTTTGATGTTATTTTTGTCACAGATGACATACTAACAGAATATTTAAACATAATCTGGTGTTATATTTTATAGTAATTTAGAAATGGATTTTTTTCTCAAAAAGATATTTAATACTGTATGTGGTGCTCACACTTGTAATCCTAGTGACTTGGGAGACTGAGGCAGGAGGATCACAAGTTTGAGACCAGCATCAGCAATTTAGTGAGATGTCCCAAAATGAAAAAAAAAAAATAGAATGGGTATGTAGCTTAGTGTTCCTGGGTTCATTCCCCCGACCAAAAAAAAATATAGTTTGTTATGAAAATTATGTTACTAACAGAAAAGAAAATTAAAGATATATACATTCTCAAATCATGAAAAATATTTTAGTTGTTATAACATGAAACATTTTTCTACATTTTATGATGATTTAACAACTGTGGTAGGTGTGTGTGTGGGTGTGGGTGTGTGTCTGCATGTGTGTGTGTGCATGCACACACATGTGTTTAAAAATGAGGTTCCTGAATCATTTGAACAGCAAGAAAAATAATTTTGAGGTATTGATCCTGGAAGACAATTATATAGTTAAAATAAAATAACTATCCAGTCGGCCAGATCTGAGCAGAGTAAATCAATACAGAGTTAAACATCCTTGGAACTCAAGGATGTAAAATAAGCATAATTAAGAAAATAACAGTGCTATTTCAGTAGCTCCATACTTTTCACCTCAAATATATTGGAAATGTGAAATGTGAAAATACCATGTCCACACCCCAAGTACTTAGCAAAAAAAAAAAAAAAAAAAGTCCCTACACATTCTACATCCTTAAGCAAGGAAGGTTTGGCTCAGCATGAGTGAGGTTCTGATACAGTCTTATAAAAGTAAGAAAGGAGGCCAGTTTTTTTTTTAAAAAAAATACTAGTTAGGCAAATTATGCAGAACCATCCTATACCACTACTTCCTGTATTCCACAGCAATAGAGGGGAATTTGATCCAAATAGCTTTGCAGACATCAACCAGCCACTAGTTTAATAGTGACCCAAAGAGTTTCATTTCTCAGAGAGCACAAGTACATTTCATTACCACTGAAGAGGGGACCATAGTTCCCTTGTCTACACCAGGTTCTAAAGCAAGAGCAAAGTTTATGGAATGGGAAAAGCAACAAGGATATCACTGGTGGGGAGCTCCATGTACAAAACACTGCTATTCATCTGGCTAAGCTAATCATCACAGACAAATCCAGTTGTAAAGTTAACAAGAAATAATATTTATTTAAGAATATGCTACAACTGTAAGGGGTCATAATGACCTACTCCTTAAATGTGCCCTACTGTCTTGTTTTTATGAAATAATGGAGTATTAGAGATAGCTGTGGGAAATTATTATACCTAGTATAAAGCATCCCAATTTTTTTGAAGTATATGTCACTAAAACACAGAATAGTAACCTTACTTTCTAATTCAAGTACAAATTTTATGACTGCCATATTCCACATATTTCTTAACTTAATTTTTTCCCAAAGAAATAGGATCCTGGATCTATTTAACAATCTAGAACTGCTGTTGAGCTTTTTGTATGTGGTTGCTTTAAGCCTAACAAAAAACTGATTTACTTAAATTTTGTCTAAACTCTACCCATCCCTAAAAACCTCTAATAACTCTTATTTTTCTTTCTTTCCTGTTTCTTTCTTCCTTTCTTTTTCTATCTTTCTGATTCATCTTTTTTTCCTTTGTAGAATCTCCTTCATTGCAATAAATCAATAACTTGACATGGTTAAGCTACAGGTTTATTGGAAAAATCCAGTATTGTTTAATGATAAAATACTCAACAGACCTGTAATAGAAATAATCTTCCTAAACTTGAAAAATGAGAACTAAAACCCTATCATATTTAGTTTTGAAAAAGGAATACTTTTTGCCCCAAACCAAGAACAAGGCAAGACTGTCCACATTTGCCTTTCTATTCAATGTTATATTGAAGATTCTACCCAGTGTAACTAGATAGAGAGAAAGATAGATAGATAGGAAGAGAGAGAGCATTCAAATTGCAAATGAAGAAGTAAAACTATCTCCAATTGTAAATAATAAGTTCTTATGCATACAAAATGATAAGTAATCCACAATATAAAAATAGGGTACTTAGGGATAAATTTTGTAAAAGAATGGCAAAATTTCAAATTTATACCTCAAAACACTACAGAATACCACTTTAAGAAATTAAAGAAGAGTTACATGAATTGAAAGATATCCCATATTTATGGATTGGAAGTCTTCATGTTATTAAGAAAGTAATCCAATCGAAAAAGATCCACAGATAAAGTAATCCCTATGAAAATCACAGCTGTTTTTTCCCCAGATACTGATAAACTGATCTTAATATATATATGGAAATACAAGGGACATTGAACCGTCAAAACAATCTTGCAAAAGAACAAAATTAAAATACTCACATTTCCTGATTTCATACTAAATACAAATATAGATTACTCTATAAAGGGACTGCTCCTTGGTATTTTAAGAAAGGGAAATGAAAATATTCTCAAAGTAAAGATGGTGATAGTTGTACAAATTTGTAAACATATTAAGCATATTATGAACTCTATGTATGTGAATTATACCTCAATATGAGTAGTTCTGGAGCAATCATGGCAAAAATAAATAAAATGAGGCAGGAATAAGCATCAATGAATTGGACAAATTTACTTTTTAAATTTAATAAACACGATATTTTTATTATGAATTCATCCACATGAATTTTATAATGTCCCAAAGAGACTTCCCTAACTTCTCATTCTATATACTTACATATGTGTATGAGTGTAAGATAATATTATACAAAATTATTTTAAGATTTGTGGATCTGATTGTTAGCCAGTAAGGATACCATTGAAAATCTACATACTTAGCACTTTCTTTTGAGTCAAACT